GATGATGATGATGATGATGAAGATAGATATAGAGAGAAGATGATAGAATAGAGATATAGAGATATGAAAATTGGTATAAATGCAATGGGTTGGTTTCAACTCTTTCTACATAGTTCAGTTTCAACTTTAATAACTTAAAATAGTTAGAAAATGTGGAGAGAAGATGATTGATAAATATAGAGAGAGATGATGATGATGATAGATAGATAGATATAGAGAGATCACAGGAATAAAGAGATGATGATAGATTATAGATATATAGATCCAAAAATTGGTATAAACATATTGAGTTGAGTTTCAACTTTAATAGCCTAAAACTACAGGGGATACTCTGTATATACCCAGAATAAGAACCAAGAAAGAAAGATATAACTAAGAAAAACATGTGTAGTATTTATAATGGCAAGAGTTAAGCCCCAGGGAATTAAAGACTAGTAGTCACATAGCTGAAAAGTGATGGTTCTGAGAAATGAGACTACAAGGCCCACTGGAAATGCCAGGAAGCCAGCTAGCTGTGGCATGACAATGGCATGACCTAAGAATAAAGGAGAAGAAAATGAAGGCATTTACTTGTACTTGGATTGTGTAGGATAAAAAAGATACCAGCAAACAGTACTTTTGGGGTACTCTCTTGGAGAGACTATTGCACAAATACTATATATTAAAGCATACACACTAGATAGATATATACATGAAATTATTTCTACATTTTCCCTTATAATTCTGTGTATTTTATTTTATGCATTTAAAAACATTATTCAGAAGATTCTGTAGGTTTCTCCCGACTGCCAAAGTAACCCATGACACTAAATGGTTAAGAACCTTTGCTCTAAATGAAACTGTTCCTGTTTCCTTCTCCCTGGTCATGAGTGGCTTACCATTGCCCCAAACAGTTACCTTGTATACAAGTACAATTTGTACCTGACCAAATGTAAGCTACTTGAGGGCAAGGCCTATTTCACTTTACTTCATTTACTTATTTACTTATTCTCACTACTTATTACTTTATTTACTTATTCTCAGTACCTAACATGGCGCCTGGCATGGAAGGGATGTTTAGTAAATGTTTGTTGTCAATTTGGTTGTTTGTGGGGCAATGGCTTTGTCAATAAAAATGTGTTGGTGGATAGCAGTCATGTTTTTAGGCCACTCCCTAGAATTATGGGCAACCAAGAGTGGGAGCTCCTTGAGGGCAGGGTCTGTCTCCCTTTTTCTGCTTTGATTTTTATTTATTTCCCCAGTGCGTGGCACATAGTAAATATGTAAAATATCTTCTTTTCCATTAATTTCTAATGGCATATATTTTCTTGCATTACAATTTTGGCCAAGTTAAAAATATTGGTCATATACAAAGCAACAGATAGAAAAGTAGCTGCTCTGTAAGTTTCAAAAAGTCAAAAACAATTCTTCTCTTCCTTAAGAAGACAAAGAAACAAAAAACAAATTGTTCTGCAAAGATGGATAGACCATTCAGCTATGGGGTGGGCGTGAGGTCTTTGAAATAAGAAATGGGAATGTTTCTATTGGGTTAACTTTTAGATGCTGCTCTGTAGGGCAATAAATGGGTTTATTATCATTTGTTACCATTATGCTGCATTACTGTATATCCTGTAGCAATGGCATATTTTAAGGTCTTTTAAAAGCCTCTATAAAGTTAGCATTGTCTAATGGCAAATCCCAGGAATGCAGTTTTTACATCCACACCCATTTGAATCACTGTCTATTGACAACAATACATATGCTCTATTTATTATTACATAAATCTATGTCCATTAAGGTATTTTTTTTTTATAAAGGTTGGCAAGTGTTTGAAGGATCTAAAAAAGTACTCGAGGAGTCTAGGTTTAAAAGTGGCCTTTGGGAATGTAGTTCTACCCTGGTAAGATTGAGGACCTCAATTCAGGCAGTAACTTATCTAGTGGGGTTGTTAATTTCCAAATTTCACTTTTGAAAGAAATAGCCTCTCCAGCCCCCCAGTCCATTTCTTTGGATAGAAAACCAAAATAAAGAATGATCAAGGACAGATGCTGAAAGCTCAAAGGAAGGGCAGATACAACTGGCTCACGGGATCCTCATGCTTGCATATGTTACAGCGGCGAACTTTCAGAAATGACTTACGGGATTGTACATCTGATTGAACAACTGCTCAGCTTGCTACATTGCAAAGTTGGGGAGGAGTGAAGGAGCACAGACAGGGAAAGAAGGAAAGATTCAGGAAAATAGCATTAGCTCAACCAATCCAGTGCAATTGCACAGAACTCGTCATTTAAAAAAAGAAAAGAAAAGAAAAGAAAAAAGACGAAGAAGAAGAAATTTCAGTTGCTAAACATTCCATGGTGAAAGTGAGAGGTAGTAGGAGGAACAGAAATGTTGACTTTGGCTCCTTAAAAAGAATAGCTGGAATAAGAAATTTAAGGTTTGTGTTACTTTCCCTTTCTCAAGTCAAATAGCCCGTGAAATAAAGAAAGCTGTCCACTTTGGATGATGCATGAAGTGCGGGGCTTCAGCAATGAATCATTGAGAGTGCTTTCGGCCAGGCTTGCAATTTATCACCCAAACTTCAAAGACGGTAATAATAAAAGATTAATTAAATCTTATCACTGAATTTATGGCTCTTCTTTTGTATTAACACAAGCCTGAATTTTCTATTCAATAAAGGTTTTTTTTGGTTGTTGTTTCTTGGAAAGTAAGAGCTTAGCAAACAGCAGATTAGCAACAGCCAAATATAGGCAAGCAAGGCACCATAACACAAAAGAGTAAAACATTTTCAAGTGGACAAAGAAGACAGAAATTATCCCAAACCCCAAATGATTCATTGCCTGTCACTATCTTGGACAATTCATTCATAATCAGTCAAGTAAATTAAATTCTAAGAGAGCCTTCATATTAGGGTGCTCCCAATTATTCAGAGTCATCCTTAACTTTCTCCTATTACAATTTTTGTAGAAAAAAAATTTCATAGGATGTTTCATGGGCTATTAATGTTGCAAATGTTTCTAAGGGTTGCACTTCTGTTCTTTTTCTCTTAAATATCAATTTAATGAGTTATGGGGCTGGAGTGTCAAGTACAAGAGTTTAATCATTAAAAGGGTACCCGCCCAATCCCCCCCCATTTCTAGTCATAATTACTAAGACAACACTTTAGGAATTGAAATATATTTTTCCCAACAATGTGGGATAGTATGATAGAATCGTAGAGCTGGAAGGATCCTAAGAGACTTTGTAGTCCAATCTCCTCATTTCGCAGATGAGATGACTGAGGCCCAAGGACATTAAGTGATTCACCTATATTCACATAGATAGCAAATTTCAGAGCTGAGATCAATAACCTCCTTTCTTTTCAGCCCAATTAAAAAATATTATCTTTTCTCCCCCTCAGAAGTAAAAAGATAAAAAGGAAAAAAAAGAAAAAAAAAGAAAAATACAACACTACCATGAATTTTATGGTAGAAATTGCTTTGCCCCTACAAATCTGGGGCAAATTTCCATTGGGAATTCATGTTGTATTTATGGTATAATAAAATTATGCTTTCAGTTTTCATTTAGTAAATCTTTGAATTTTTAGTCACAAGCAGCTCTCTCTCTTTTCTCTCTTTCTCCCCCCTTTCTCTTTCTCTTTCTCTTTCTCTCCACCCAAACACTCTCAGGCTTTTATAAATGCTTATTTTCCCATGACTGAATGATGCGTTTATACATACATTCTTAAAATGTTGGCTTAAAATTTCAAATATTTCATGGAGATTTCCATTTTTTAGGTGATGGGTACTTGAGGCTTTAAAAGAACTATTTATTACCAAAAATTAAAGACTACTGGAAAAATATTTTAAACTTTTGAATTCAGTTAATGACACACGGCCAAAAATAACAAAATTATATTTGCAGGTTAGCTTTGGGTATAAAAATATTTAAATTATAATTACCCTATTTCACCCGATTAAAATGGACGTCAGTTTGTTTAGATGATAGTGTGAGCAAAGATTTGTTGACACTCCCAAATTACCTTTCCATTAACTCAATGTACCCTATGTGGTCAGGTGATTGTTGTACATTAATTTAATTCTAATGCCAATGGCAAAGATGAATTTTTCAATGTTCACAGGAATGATGCTGTTTGGCCTGGGATCTGAAGTGTCTTCTGTACTGCTGCTTGAGAGTCAGGAGGGAAAACCACAGGTTTTTCTACTGTGGCTACCATGAAAGCTCCGGGAGAACGTAGAGTGAATGCTCCAGGCACTGATTTATCACTTTGTTCAAATGCAACGTATGGGAGTTACAAGCATAAACATATAAAACTCCTCCTTCAAAGAGCTTCAGGGATTAAATGGCTCCTGAACAAGCCCAAATTGAAAGCATGCAGTTCACACAGACAACTAAGAAAAGAAGAGAAATTCTAAGATGTTGCAAGGGTGGAATCTTTATAAATGCCTATATTTTGTCTGGTGGCAGAGGGGAAGGGATTTTGCTATAATTTTAAAGCTGCTCCTTCTTTGGAAAGATCACAGTCAGTTTTGGGGGAAAAGAATCAAGTAATGGCCACTCAAAACTCTTGGATCGATTTCACTTCTTTTAAAACAATACTATAACCTAAAAACGTATAAAGGCACAAATATGTTTTAAACAGAAAGGAGCATCAGTGATCAATTTCTCAGTCCGTGGACTTTGTAGGATCATGGGATCGTAGATTTAGAGCTGAGAGAGATGTCAGAGGGCCATCTAATCCAGTCCCCTTATTTTACAGATTCAGAAATTAAGGCTCAGGGATTCACGACTCGGCCAAAGTCAAATGGGAAGGTAGCGGTAGTACAGAGATTGGAACCCAGGTCCTCTGGCTACTGCTAGTTTCTTCCTTGTACCACATACACAACAATATTCATTATATGGCTGTACTTTATACTTGGTCAAAAGCTTCATGGTAAACTCTGACTCTTGAGAGCACATCTACGAGCAATGTTTGATGCTACAAGGAGGAAGATTTGGGCTGACGGTAAGGAAAAAAAAACAAACGACAAAATAAAACGAAAAACAAATTAAGCTCTCCAAACAGAGAGTGGCCTGCTTTGGAAATGATAGATTTTGCAATACTGGATTTCTTTTGAACAGTTACTGGATGATTATTTGCTGCAGATCAAGATTGAACTTGATGGCTTCTGAGGACCCTTCCAGCTCTGGGCTTCTAAATTGTAATCTCACAAAGCGGTGCTACTTAAGCTGTAAGACAATTTGGTTATATAGAATATTGTTGATAATAAACAGGATGGTATCTGGGTCTCGGTAGCCATTGTAGTCATAAGAGGATTCGACCCGTTCCCCACGTCTCTCTGAATCCGTTGCATCTATTTCATATACAAACTACATTAGCATAATCTCTTATAACCGTTTCTCCAAATCCCCTGCTAAAATAGATAGCCCATTACATTTCCTTTATACTTTCCATCACACCATTTTTAAATATTCAGAACAATTTCACAGTTCACGTATGATCCCTGCTTTTCTCTTATCATCCATCTATCAACATTTCCATAGCTTTCGAGAATAAGACCCTATTTCACTCTGTTACAGATTACTTTATGTAAGTAGTTTAATTTTACTCCAAGCAGTATGGGATTCAAAGAAACTTTTATCTGGGCTTCTGATTGGCTGATAAAGGCGCTGCTGAAGGGAAACAGAGTACTTAAGTCATCACGTTCTGAGTAGTGCAAACAATGAATGCAGACAGAACCAAACAACACAAGAATAGAGTCAAAAGAACAAGGCATGATTGGGAATGCATCCACAAAAAATACTCTAGTCGCTTAAAACCCTGAATGCAGCGATAGTCTTTCATAAAAGAATCATACATACAACATACTTTCTTTCGTATTATGCCTCCCCCTCCCCACTCTCACTTTTTTTTTTCTTTTACTGGACAGATTATCATCCACCAATTCTGTCCACTAATTGACTAGGCTGGTCGATGGCTACGGATTAAAAGTTATCCAGGGAAAACTCTGCAGAGTTTCAGGACAAGAACTCGACACCCTTTTGCTGGGAGTAGAAGTTTATAATTTACTATGCGACCCTTTAATTCTTTGGTTTATTGCAAACATTCGCATTTATCTTTGACCGAAGTTTAGATTTGCCCGCCGAGTGACGGCTGGTTTTTATAACGTCCTTCACTTCCACTCTGGTATTTTCATCAATTTTTCAAGCACTCTTTAGACAGGAAACCTAACATAACTTTTCAGGTTCACAGACAGATTTGAGGCAGGCTCCTTAAGAATAAAGAGCACTTAATTCTCCTATCAGCAGACGGCGAAAGATAAGCGGCTGCTTGTTTCTGAGAACGGGCTCGTCCTTCTCCGTTGCGGCCATTCATTTTCAGGGGAGCAGTTTCTTGGCCTTCACTTACCTTCTTCAATTGCGCTTCCAATTTACTGCATTCTTCTTTCTTTTGTTCTATGGCTATTTCCAGGGACTTTAATTTGGAATCCCGCTTCAAGCCCGCGGATGCCAAGGAGGAGGCATGTTCCTTGAGGTCAATTAGATTAGACTAAAACAGGAAAGAAATGGGAGTAAGACAAGCATCCACCAACAATGAACCCCTTTTCTGATGGAATGTTCAGACTCTATGTATCACTATAAGCAGAGAGAGGTCAAAGAGCTACTAGCCTTGGAGACAGAAAGACTCAGGTTCGAGTGCCGCTTCTGGGCCTCTCACTGAACTCCTCTGAGCCCCAGAGGGAGAGTCAGAAATGAAGATGATAGAAAAATAAAAGATAGCAATTTCTAAAAATGTTTAAATCAGCTGTTGTGGATCTAAATGGGTAGATGAGCTCTCTAATGATCATGGGTCCAGAGCCTGAAAGGATCTTAAAGACTCTCAAGCCCAACCCCCTCATTTTACAGATGAACAAACTGAGACCCAGAGATGTTGCTTGCCCAGGGCCACCATCTTGGAAGTGCCTGAGGCAGAGTTTCAGCCTAGGTCTTCCTAACTCCAAATTTAGCTCTCTGTCCATTATAATATCCAGATGAAATCGAAGGGCTAGGGGGAAACAAAATTAAACAGAGTAAATCAGGAGATGGATAATTAGTAGTCCACAGATGAAAAGAAACCCTTTATTTCTGTCTTTGAATGTGCCTGAATAGATAGAATGTTCTGACTTGTTTGTTCCATCTCTATGCAGATACTTGGCAGTCAGAATGTCATCTGACTGCCTTCCCTATCCCACCCCCATCCCCATAAGATAATATTTGCAAAGTACTCAGCACAGTGCCTATTATATAATGGGTGCTTAATAAATGCTTGCTGCTCCCCCACCCCCATGCAATGACCAGAGATCATCCTTAGCTAAAGTTGTCAACTGACTTACACTAATCGTTTGTGCTGGTCATCTGGCACCTTGAGTTTGAGTCAATGTTACATATATATCATAGAATGCCAGGCTTAGAGCTCTAAGGGACCTGAGAGAAAGTCTAATCTAATCGCCCTTCTCCCCTTTACTGATGAGGAAGGGAAGTTCCACAGAGATGAAGTGGCTGCCCCACACAGCTTATGAGTGGCTACGTTAGGACCTGAATCCAGAACCTCAAAGTCCAAGGCCGGTCTTCTTCCCACCGTGTTTTCTTATTACTTGTCTCACCTTTTAACTAAATTAACTGCTTCTTAAGAGGAACTGTGACATGTTGTGTGGGGGGAGTGAGGTAGATAAGATCAGTGGGATGGCACAGTGAGCAAAATCCTAAACTTGGAAGCAGAGAAACCTGAGTTCAAAACCTGTCACTGAGAGTTATTATCTGCATGACCCAAGGTATGTTACCACCCCCTTTCTTGTGAGCCTCCATTTCCTCATCTGCAAAAATGAGCATATAAGCCCTGGAGAATCAAGGAGAAGTGACCCGTGGTACCACCACGGTGAAACCATGGCATTGTGGCTTCTATTATTCCGCAGGGCTTTATGCAGGGAAGCTGTTTGGTCTGTTTACTGACGGCGAGGATACTAATGATGATGACAATGGGAGGCAACAGTGTCCCAAATATAAAGAACTTTGGTAATTTTTTTTATTTAAAGGTTATAATTAGTAAAGTGCTATTACAATTTAGCATGTATAAATGATTTTTGCTTAAGCAGAGATTCTACTGAGTATGATCTTCAATCATACAAAACGTATATATATATAGGTATATATATGATGTGTATTCATAGACACATACGCATGTATGTAAATATATTTTTATCTAGAACTATGATTTCATTTGGCTAGGGGAAATCCCAGTATGGAAATTCCCTCTACCAATACAAATTGACATCTGTTCTATAACTTCTAGTCTCAGAGTGTTGCCTGGAACATTGAGAGGTGAAGGGCTTTTGGGATGTGTCAGAGATTGAACTCAGGGCTCAGGGCTCAGAGGCCAGCAATTTATCTGCTATACCATGACTGCGTAGCACATAGTAGGTGTTTATGAAATGCTTGTTGATTTGAACAGAATTGTAGAAAACACTTCCCTCTGAACACCTACAGCTGAAAACCAGAATTTGCCATTGGCTTCCATTTCAGTGGAGTCCTTGGAGGTCCCAGCGGCCTCCCACAAAGGCTGCAACGAGAAGAAACACGTGGAACGGTAACAGAGGGAGCGCTGAGCCCGACTGCGCACACTGACCTCTTTCTCCGTGAGTTCGGCTTGAAGAGCGTTGACTTTGTCCTTCAGGTCCTTGTTCTCTTTTCGGAAGGATTCAATTTCTTCCAGGCGTTCTCGATCATCGCGTTCTCTCTGTTCTTTCAAGCGTTCAATGATTCTCTCCTGGGGCAGAAGAGAACTGCAATGAGAAACCATGAAGCCCGGATGCGGGGTCACACTGGAACAAGAAGGCGGGGTTGATGTCCACATGACCTAGGCGCTTCCCAGGAACAGAAATAAGACACCCAAAACCGGGAGGTTCAAGGCCAAGAACTTTGGACTTAAAGGGATGTGACCCAGCTAGAACAACTATAATTATAACAATAATAACAGTGAGAGTAAAAACAATAATGATAACAATAATAACACCATTTACATAGCGTTTTAGGGTTTGCAAAGCCCTACAGCCTGTAAGTTCATGAGCATCTGTTAAGCACCAGGCACTGGGCTAAGCTGGGAAAACAAATACACAAAAATAGTCTTTGCCCTTGAGGAGTTTACAAATGAATGGAAGAAGACGACAGGCACACATTATTTCATTTGATCCTCATAACAACCCTGGGAAGTAGCTGCTATTTTTGTCCTGATTTTACAGATGAGGAAACTGAGGCAGACAGGTTAAATGACTTGTCCAGGGTTGCACAGCTAGGAAGTGTGTGAAGTTGTGTTTGAAATCTTCTTAGGTGACACGTGATGCTAAAGTGAAGACCAAGAACTGTCTTTTACTTTTTAAACAACTTTCAGGCTTGTATTCCTGGATGTTAAATGATGGCCCACCAGCTCTTTGGACAACTGTGAAATGTCATTGAAGGCAGAGGGAAGTGAGCCCTGCTCTGGGCTCAGAAAGCCAGAAAGGCCTGGGTTCAAATTCTGTTTTGGACACACCCTGGCCGAATGGCTCTGGGCAAGGCATTTAAATCTCTCAGTGGTCTAGGCCACTCTCTAGGTCTCCAGGACACAGAAAAGGCAATAGCCCCTGCCCTCAAAGAGCTTACAATCAAACCAGGCTGTCTTTTGCCTCTTTTTGTATCCTCAGCTTTTAGCATAGTGCCTGGTATATAGTAGGTGTTTAATCAATGCTTATTAATTAATTTCTTGGAAGACGGAGTTTCCTCACCTGGAAGTTCCCAATGCCAATGAAATCACAAGTCCATAGTCTCTCTCTATTGCCTTCAAGGAAATCACACACCTTGCTTTTGTTTCTGAATTCTTTGGTTTTTAAATTGCCAGTTTTGCTGGCTTATATTAACACAGCAATAGGTTTTTTGAAAATACTGAGCAAACATGTCTGCTAAACCAATAAACGACCTGACTTTGTAAACTACATTTTGGCTTTCCTCCAGACCTTGTCAAACAGGTCTGCTTCATTATAGAGAAGATGATGGAGCTGTATCAGCAGGTAGGAATTTGGCTTGCGGAGCCCTGAGGAGACCCTAACTCTTTGAGTTCCATAATGCCAAGTCTATTTACACAAGAACTCCAGTCCTTGAAGTCGTAAGACTCTTCAAGTTGGGAGGCAGAAAAGTCTAGACAGTATCAATGAACAGATTGAATTCATCTCTATTGTTAGCCAACTTTTGGATCACATAAAAACACATCCACCTTGCCCCCTCCTTCTGCCTCCCCCCGAAAAGTATGCCCATCTTCCAATGTCTCCTTTAGCTAGAATTCAATTTCTACGACCTCACAGAATAAGATGGTTAATTAATCCACCTTATTTTGGGGCTCTGCACTTGGCAACTGCCTCAAGCCAAGAAAGGACCATACACTTAGAGAGATTTGGCATTTCATAGGATGAAAGATTTAGAGCTGCAAGGGAGGTCACAAGTACTCTTTTCTATCCTTCTTGTTTTACAGAAAAGGAAACCGAGGCCATTCTATCCAACAAGGAGTTTATGACCTATTTAAAGTTTTCACAGCTAAACAAAATTCACCAACTGGTGGTTGATCTCGTAGGTAAAAACTTCTTCTAAACAGAAAGGCTAATCCATTGAAAGTGTCCTATTCCAAATCACTAGCTCAAGCTCAGCAAGATTTATTAGTGTTTGCACTCTTCTGCTATGACCTCCAAGAACCCAGGGTCATCTCCCTAACACAACAAAGAACTGGAGCAGAGTTTAGGTGGAATGAGTTGCTAGACAGTGACTACACTCCCCTGGTGGCCTCCCTCCTTCTACCAAATCCCCAGAGGAGGGGTCTCCAAAGAGGGCTCTTCTACCCAAAGGGGTGTGCGAGACTGAAGTGCCAGAAGAAAATATTATAATTTGGATTTCTACTTATTTACAGCTAAAAAATGAACTTAGCTTTACAAAGATTTAAGATACAGATTGATGTTGGAGTGTTTACCCAGGCCCTATGTCACATGGTCTGCTGTTATGGACATCAGGGAAGGCCCCTAAAGGAAGAACGAGAGTCCCACAATATAAGGGGTAGAAATAGAGTGGCACCCTCACCCATTCATTGTTGACTTTCTTCATATTTAAACACATTTTAGTTTATTTGTGCCCTGTCATGTGGATTTACAGACTATCATTTCAATGAAAATAAGTAGATTTTTAAAAATTCCTATAAAGAAACAGAAGAAGAAAAGAGGAGGAAGAAAAGAAGAAGAAGAAGAAGAAGAAGAAGAAGAAGAAGAAGAAGAAGAAGAAACAAATAAGAACATGGAAGAGCTAACATTTCTCCTCCTGTAGCTGCTGAGGATGGGAGTAGGGTGCACCACCATGCACAGAGCAATGGACAATACAGCCTCAGACACTTAGTAGATGTGTGACTCTGGACAAGTCACTTAACCTCAGTCTGCCTCAGTTTCTTCAACTGTAAAATAGGGATAATAACAGCACCTACCTCACAATTGTGAGCATCAATTGAAATGTTTTTAAAGTGCTGGGTGCAGGGGCAGCTGGGTGGCACCATGGATACAGCACGGGCCCTGAAGTCAAGAGGACCTGAGTTCAAATCCGGCCTTAGACCAAATGCTGGACACTTACTAGCTGTGTGACCCTGGGCAAGTCACTTAACCCCAATTTTCTAACAATAAATAAATAAATAAATAAAATTTAAAAAAATATATAAAAAGTACTTAGTGCAGTGCCTGGCACATAGTAGGTGCTATATAAATGCTTATTTCCTCCTTCACTCCCCTCCTCCTAGTATGAGCTCTTCTCCAGCCTCATTACAAGCCATTTTCTTAAACATTCATTATTAAAAATGGCACCACAAGTTTGGGATGACCCATAACACCTAAGATAGAAGCATGAAAAACAATAGGGGAATATCAAAGCAATGGGGTCCCTTGCCTCCCACCCTATCATGCCCACTTACCAAGGCTATCCCCCAAGGCTCTGATCTGGACCCTCTTCTCTTCTTCTATACCATCTCACTTGATAATCTCATCAATTCCAGTGGGATCAATTATCATCTCTATGTATATGACTTTCAGATCTATTCATCCAACCCTTACCTCTTTCCTTAACTCTAGTCTATCATCACCAACTGTCAACTGGACTTCTGGAAATGGATGTATCAGAGACATCTCAAACTCAAAATGTCTAAGATAGAACTCATGATCCCTTCCCCTCCAAAATGTGGGCCTCTTCTGAAATTCCCTTTCACTTTCAAGAGTATTCTGAGCTCCTCCCTGGCATTAACCTCAAACAGCCAATTTGTTGTCAAGCCCTACTGATTCTTCCTTTGCAACATCTTTTGAACCTCCTTCTGTCCTCTGCCTCTGCCCCTGCCCTACCTCGCTCCAGGCACTCCTCAGTGGGGTTGCTGCAGTAGCTGCTTCTGGCTCTGCTGACTTCAGGTCTCTCCCCATCCCAATCCATCCTTCATTCACCTGCCAAAGTGATCTTCCTACATGCAGGTCTGACCACGTCACCCTCTCCTCATTAAAATTCAGGACGAAGCAGAAAGCCCCTCACACCATGGGTCCTCTTTGAACTTTCCAGGCTTCTCACACTTTACCACCCTCCACAGGTGTGAAGGTCTGGCAGAGAGCTCAAAGTGATTTCACAGGGTCCTGGATCAAAGGATTATTGAGAGAGGGCCCCAAGACACCACAGCAGCCACCTAAGCTAACCTGCTCATTTCACACATGAGAAGACAGAGGCATAGAGAGTTGCTCAGGCCATATTCCTAGTAAGTTAAAAAAAAGTGGAAGATTTGAACCTGGAGCACCTGACTGAAAGTCCATTGCTTTTCCTACTAGATCTCAAAGATATAAGAAAGCTATGAAGGGGTGCCAGGAATAGTGACCAAGATGCCTAAATTGGAGTTAGGAACCCCTGGGTTCCAATCTCACCCCCAGAACTTAAGATAGTAGAGTGAGAGATGGTAGCGACCTTAGACCTTAAGAATTATCAATGCAAAATGATAAAAAAAAATGATAACTGACACACAACACTGTAAAGTTTGCAAACAAACTTTATTATGCACATTACCTCATTTGAGCCTCATGACAGCTGCCCCATTTTACAGATGGGTAAACTGAGGACCAGGGAGCTGAAGTGAATCCACCTAAGGTCACACAGAGAGCTGAGACACAAACCAAATCTTCTAATGCACGCCCAGCATTCTTTCCATTTACTTTCCCTTTTGCCACAGGCTGGTGGTCGAGGATATTCAACCTTCTGAGCCTTCTTCTTCATTTATAAAATAAAGCCAGTAATACTTATAACAGTTTCCCACCACATTATCAATGCTCAAATGAGATAATGTGCATAATAACATTTTTGCAAACTCTAAAGTGTCGTGTGTCAGTTATCCTGATTTTAATTATTTTGCTTTGAAATGTGAAATTCTCCAAGTCCCAGAATACCATTAGACCCCTTTAAATTATTCAAGTCTCTCCTCTCATATTCATATGTTATTCAAGATTTCTGGATGTACTGGATGAAATTGATTAACAGGCAAAATAATTTCCAAGGATCCTGTATGGGAGAGGTTGGTTTAGATTAGAGTAATGATCTGCCAAATAAAGAATGAATTGGACCGAATCCCAGAATGGCTTATGTGTCATTGGGATCTAAAGCAAAAAGCTTATTACATCCCATTCAACATCCTGACCTCAGATGCCAGTGAGGCCAACTTGAATCTGATCACAGATCTCCACCAACTCC